TCCCTTAATGCTGGTTGAGATGGTGATAAAATGACCTATGCAGCTTAATGTTGATAAAGGCAAAGGTGATACATGTGGGGAAGACAGTGCTAACTTTGATGCTCAGTGGTGAGTTCTGAAGAAACTGTTCTCCCTCAGGAAAGAGATCTTGAAGTTATGGTAGATATTTTTCTGTAAACATCAGTTCAGTGTGCAGACACAGTCAAGCAAGTAAATAGAACAGTAGGGATTAGTAGGAAAGGACCATATTAGAAGTGTATAGAGTGTAGAAGAGAAAAGAATTATGCCACTTTTAATCTTTGGTAGACCTCCTTTCAAAGCACAGAGATAGAAATAGATAGAAAAAATGTGGAGGCGGGCAATAAGAAAGATTAAGTATAGTTTCTGTATAAAACCCAGCAGGATAAATTAAGAGTCTCTAAGCCAGAGGTCTGTAAAAGCAGAAGGATATGGAGAGGGATGTGGTTGTTCACGTAATTTTTAACATTGAAGGTTGTTCACCTTAGCTAAGTTCTGCTGTGGTATTTTAGGTACAGATGTTCTGTCACTTTACATGAAGCAATCACATTATTTGTATACTCTTTATAGTGCAGCCAAGGATAATAAGCTTCTGAATATTGAGCAGATATCTTCATTGTTGTGTGAGTAATGACTAGGAATAGCTTAACTTTGTTTAGATTTGAATCCGGGGAAAAAGGAGAAATGTCACTGGAAGTACATGGTGTTCACTAGAGACAGTGGGTGGAAGCTTGGCACATTATGGTTTCTGGGAGGATGAACCTTGAAAATGTATGGGTTTACATCTCAGTGAAAATGTTCATTAATATGAAAAAGTAGTTGAAAAGGTGAACAAAATCTGAAACTCCAGGAACCTTCACTTTTCTTTTTTAATGACCCGAGTTCTTTGTTTTGTCAGCACAGGAAATAATCTACTGCCCTTTTTTGGCTTTGCATAGCTCTTCACAAAGAAGCCAACTAATAGTTCCACTGAAAATCCAATCTTATTACAACATTACTGTTAATCACAGGCAGAAGTGTGAGGCATCGTGTTTGCTTTATACTTTATAGTCTCAGAATTTGCCCACAAAGGGATCTTGGTTCTTATTTGTTGAAAATCAAGGTGTAAGCAAGTGCTCATCACAAATATCATCATTTTCTGAGCAAGATAAAGTAAACTAATACTGGCTGTGTAGTCATTATGTAATGCTCAATACAAAAAAGTCTATATAGTCCGAGCAGAGCATAGTAGCTAGCTTCTAGTATTGCATGTACCTTGGCAGATGCAAGACTGTATTACTTTATCAAACAAGTTCCTCTGATTATTCTTGAAGCTAAATGGAGATGCTAACACACTTCAGTATTGTGCATTGATGTGATGCTACCAGAAAAACAAAACCCCAAAGCAAACAAACAAAAAAACCAACTCAAAAACCAAAACCCAAAGCAATGCATTCCTTTTAATTGTGCATTTTATCTTGTCAACCTGAATGTAACTGTTTCACATTAACAGTTTCTCATTTGTAATCAACAGTAAAAGGCCTATTTATACTACCTTTCAACAAGATCCCCCTTTCCTACATCTCTTTAAGACATTTGTGACTGAACAATGTTATGTTCAGCACAGTTCATATTTACCATGTCTGTTCCAATTTTAGATGCTTCTCTTCATCCTCAGATTTGGTTTCTTAAATTCCTGAAATAGCCCTTAGTTTCCCCACAATTAAATGGTCTTCCTTTAGCTTCCTGTTAAGGTGATTAGGTTTATATCCAGAGGAACGTAATGTGTGGTTCCCTCTGAAGCTCAGCAGCATCTCAGGCGGATTAGCTCCATTTCACCCAGGGGCTGAGTGTGCTACCTGAACAGACATCTTGATTACTGCAGGCATATTCTGGAGGGTAGGAGGACCAAATGGGTTGTTTCAAGTCCTGCTGCCCTAGTCACTGGGTGCTCAAGGCTAGATTCTTATTTTTACTGGAACTGGTTTGTCATAGCAGGCAGCAGATGGCCAGGTGGAACAGGATGCTTTTTTCCCTGGTGAAATACATACAGTGAGCATACTGGTGGTGTTCCCAATGTATAAAAAATAAATAAAAGATCTGCACTACTCCCAGACAAAGCTGGATGGAAACAGGCGAGTGGGCCGCTTTTTTCCTCCTTTATAAAGTGGAAGAGTGGGATAGAAAAAAAAGAGTTTGCTTCTTCCTTGTCACATCTGGAGAACAACACAGTCTACACAGATCGCTCAGAGACGGTGTGTAGGAGAAGTCATCCTAATGAAGATCCTTGAAAGGTGCCATGACTGCATCTGCAGCAGTGGCAGAAGTGTCACTAAGGATGAAGAGGGCTGGAAGGAGAAAGCAGATAAACATACTGAGAACAGCAGCAAGTAAAGTAGAAAAAAATGGGTTTCTGGAGGTGTCTGTTAAAAGGAAATATGGGGTTCACCTGGTAAACCACTAAACAAGAGGATAAGATTTGGAGGTTCTGCAGTTTCTCTCATCTTGGGGAGATAAAAGTTAAGTCTGCCAGTGCTAATCTCCCCAACTAAATCCACATGTGTTTTCTGAAGATGATTAGCTTCCCCTTCCACAGCTAGATAACCTTTCAGGGAAGGATCTTTCCTAATTTCAACAGGATTTACCCTAATTAGAGGTAACATAAAATAACTATAAGGTAACATAAGATTTTTCTTCATATAGATATTGCAGGATACAGAATATCTTTCTATGAAGTATCTTTTCTTCTCAAAATAACAGATGTCCATGTATATATGTTCATACATGACTATTTGTGTATGTGTTTAAATTAGCTACATAGGCAGGTCTTAGTATCTTTTCTTCTGCAATTTAACTTTTTCAGTAGGAGTTAATCTCAAGAGACATAAAAATACCATGCAAATGCAGTTCTTTCATCTTTTTTCATACACCAAAGTTCCTGTTCCTTCAAGTAATGTACAAGCTTTATACTTAATTTTGACTAATTTTTCTTGATCACAGTTTACCAGCTTGTTTTTCATTCTTGAACGCTGAGTATTTAGGACTGGGCATGTTTTTGAAGATTATATATATCCTAGAAGTTTTTTTGGACAGAATCTAAAACACTGGTGGGTGTCTATTAATTATAAGGTACTTAAGAGAGTAGTAAATATTCTCTAGTGCATCACTTCACAGCATCTCCTGACTGATCTCACCTGTCGAATCCAGAAGGTATTGCTGCTGTAGCAGAAGCAGCAGGATACAATACATGTTTTCACCTCATTACTCCAGTCACTCTGGACAGTACACAGTCCAGAATATTAGTTAAGCCAAGGTAACTCTGTGTGAAGACCCCACACTGGGAACTGGAGAAGCTAATGCACCAGTGGACATCCTCTTCTGTTGGCTGTGCTATGTAAGGTGGTAACGTCCAGCTCAAGGAGTGGGCAGACTGATAAAGGCAGTAGCGTCTTCAAATGCCACAGCTTAATTATCCAGAAAGAGTCTGCCACAGAATGTGATCACGTGGAGCGTGTCTTCAGTGTGTGATCAGATCTAATAATTTCCCAGTGTGTCATACCAACATTCAGAGAACCCAAAATCACATGGGACGTTTTTTCTTCTCCCATATGGCAATAAATGCATGTTTTCTTCCTACTGTCACTCATAGCTCTTTTCAGCCACACAGTTTTCCAAATATCTCCCCCTCTGTGCTGAATCACTGCTGTATAGACAAGTGTGTCCCAGCAGATGCGGTTCTGTTCTGAGAGCTGCAAGCCCCTGTGTGTGCGGGGGGGGCTCTTTGTTAAGGGGTGGGGAGCTGAGGGCAGCAGTAGGGCTGGTGGCACAGGGGTCTTTCCTTCTCTCAGTGTGGTGTTGGTGTTTCAGTGGAGCAGGCTTCTCGGTAAGCGCATGTGAAGATAATTTTTGTGGTATCACAGTCAAGTTTTGCAGTGCTGTGTACTAGCAGGAGAGAAACTGACGTAGACATGGAGAACTTGCCCACACTCATCCTTGCACCATGTTAATCCAATCAATCTAAAATCATATACTTGATTATTATCTAAGTATGGCATACGGTGATATCTGAGCTGGGGCCATTCACTTGTCGAGCTGCCTTGCTTAAATGCACACGTACTCCCTAGGCAAAGGTACCACCTGCACCGTTACTGAGTGCTTCCCCTTGACCGGTGTACAAAATGACATGGCAGGCCTGTGAGGAAATGCCAGTTCTTTCACTGGCTGGTGAAACAATTCTTGCAAGAGTTCAGGAATATGATGATGCAGACACACAGCAATTCATTCTTTCCCTCTCTCCTCCAAAAGATTGGCTTCGTAAAGTCAAGTTTTGTATTGAGATAAAGATGTTATGAAAGTCTCAGGTAAATTATAACATTTATTGCAAATGAGAAATAGTTCATGATACGGTGTAAGGAAGTTGAGATCTGATTACACCCGCATATCTCCAAATGCACATGTAGCATGTTTTGTCCAGTTTGCATACACGTACGTGATAGTAAATGGTGCAAAGAAGTGGAGATCCATCCCATTAATTTTGTTTCTGTGAACCACTAGCGGTGAAAGCCCATCATAGGTTTTTAAGAAGTTGCTAGAAGGGTATGTTATTTTTAAACTTCAGAGTCCCCATAAATCAAAGCATGCTTTAACTGGGGGTTCTCTTTTTCTAAGTAAATGTAAAAAAGTGTTCTTTCTGTGGGAAATCATTATTTCCTCTTTTGTGAATCATTTTGTTAAATTAGGAAAGCCTTAAAAAAAGTCCTCATATGATGATAGTGTGTGAAAAATGTAAAATATAATTTAGGCTTTTTTTAAAGATGAATGACTTTTTCATTGTTTTATTGCTAATAGCAAATGCATTTTGAAATCAAAGTAACTTGTTAGAATCCACATCTTTACACTGCTACTGAAATTGTGTTTTGATTTCTTTGACATGATCCCTGATTGCTGTGAGAAGAATCAGTTCAGTATTTTTGTTCTTAGATTCCCCCTCCTTTGTCTTGCAGCTACTTGTGGCAGATTCCATTAACAATTGCAGTAGGAAATACGAGCCACATCTCATCAGAGGCAATTATATGGGTGTCTAACAAATCAGGTAAAAATAAACTTTCCTCCCAGTGGAATCTCATAAAGCATACTTGTGTTTTCCTCAACTGTTTCTTTGGAATTGATCCTAGGTAATTGTTTAGTTGCTCTGCACCCAGTTTTAGCTACTTGAAATGAATTACAAAAAAAGCAGAGTTGGGAAGGGAGGGAGGAGGAATAAAGGATTAGCAACAAGCAAGATTTATAATTATGTCAGAAATTAGACAGTATAATGAAAAGCTTTGACATAGAAACGTGTACCTAAGTGCTAAGTATTTTATATTTAGCAACGCATATCCAATCATTGATGAATGCAATTCACTTTATTGATTAGTGAAAGTTAAATGTATTTTTATAGCAAAGCATCTGATGCGTATAACTTCGTAAATACAAAGTATTTAGAATTCTGGCATTTTTAACTCTGATCCATAGTCTGAACCAGGACTAAGAAATGTTTGCTGTCATTAAAAAATTTCCTTATTGATCTATCAAAGTATTTCTTCTCTCTGTTAGATAACCAGATGCTGGACCTCAAAAGTGCATTATTTTGCTTACTACTTATTTTCTCCTTCCTCAGTTCCTACGTCATCATAATAGTTACTGTCCTGAGGACAGCTGTGTCTAGATACCAGTGGTTTTTATCACCTCAAAAAGGAAACCCGCCATAGAAATGTAATTAAATATTTCTTTATTTCCTTAGCAGTTCATGCCACATCAGCTGGCAGTTTTGGACTGGAAGAGAGTGAGGGAAGAAATGTGGAGACTTGAATACAATGATTATATGGAAGGGAAAAGAAGGATCCATGCATCCCCTCCACACATGGCCTGTAGAATGAGAACTGACCCTTTCTTGTAAAATTAGAAAGGTATTTCCCCCTGATAGAAATTTAATTGGAGAGAGGAAGGAGTCAGACCTGTGCAAGCCTGTGGTTTTTTGTTGTCTATTTTTTTTTCCCCTCTTTTAGTGGTCAGTAAAAGGTTAATAGTCTCATAGAGTTTAGCAGCCATCAGGGACTAGAATAGTTCACAATCAGTGTAAATCTGAGTATCCCAAGTTTCTCGTGGTATAAGGTGTGTGTTTCTTTGCCCTGATCATTTGCAGCCTGTTGGAACATTACATGTTTTAGGTTGCTCCCGTGATATAATGATCTAGAAATGTGCCTGGGACCACGGCACTTTTCATATTTGGGAAACATAAAGATGCTGCCTCACTTTGCAGCGGTATATAACATTGGCCATACTTTTTAATATTAACACCTCCACAATACTTTACAACTTGTTTGCACTTTCATAGTTTGCCTTGATGACCAGCTCTACTTTTGTCCTTTAGGGCTTGATTGAACTCTCATTGAAGTTAATAGAAAGATTCCCACTGACTTCAGAGAGGGTTGATCATTTCATCTCATCTCATTAGGTTGTACATGCATGCCTCCTTCCCTTCAGTCCTGCCTTTAAAGTTCAGTATATCACTATTATCTGCACAGTTGCTTCCTCATTGCCTTTTACTTGCAGAGTGCTGTGGAGAAACAAGTCCATAAAACCACTGTCCACTCTTTTAAGATCTACTGCTCCTATCGAAATGCCTTCAAGAAATCAACAAATTAATGATGCCCAGTGTGAGCAATGATTTTGGGGTGGCTGCTATATAGAAATTAAAGAGGAACCTTTCTGAGTCGTCAGTTTCCTGTGTAGCAAATCAATGCCACTGTGATCTATTGCCATTATCCTTGTCCTTCTTCATTACGTTCTCACTCACTCACTCACTTGCAGTGCGGTATTGAAAACAAGTCTGTAAACTTAGGAGTATAGCAAGGATGTCCTCTTGCTTCTACTTGTTGTCTAGCTCAGCTGGAGAATTCCTCAACATAAAAAAGTCAGTAAGAACATCCCTGGATGTACTCAACATATGTTTCATTGCATGTACTCTTACATATTGGGGCTGATATAGATGATTTTGTGATACTCCTGGAGATTTCCTGCAGCTGGTACGTTTGTTTCTTGGGGATGTGGGAGGGGTTCTGAGACTGGAAAGGACAGTTTCCAGGATTGGTTCTTGTGGACGGGAAGAATCCTGAAGACTTTCTGTTGTGTAGAGAATGCAGTTTCAGTGTTGTCCCAGTGAGTAGTCTGGGAAAGACTCTGCAAGCTGGACGTGAAACAAACTACTCCAGAGGCTATTTGGAAGATTGGGAGTGGTCACATATTTCTTCAAGTGAGTGTAATTGAATGTGGATACTCAAAATTTGGAAGAAATGTTGTTCATGAGGATGGTTTCCATGCCCTTTTTAGGAATGAGCAGGCATCTCCTTCTTGTTAACTAAACTGCTGTGCTAAGGAAGCTTCCAGTGTAACCTGAAGAGTGGGTAGGAGGTGATGAACAGCTGTCTGTTGTCTGTCATATAATACTGATTAGATACCTCATTTAAGCTGCCTATAATGAAGAGAGTCCAAGTTAATTACTACCATTATGATATCTTGGCATATCACCTAAATTTTTCAACAAAATTAACCTTGTCTGTTTGTTATCTGAGAGGAATGCAACCACGCTGTTTTGAAATAGCTGCATATATTGCCATCAAGAAATAATCCTTTTTTGTGGTAGTTTAAATAATTTCCCAGGGGAGTGGAACCCCTGCCTTGCACTCGAGTTCATGAGGGATGGTTACTTGCTGATGTACATCTGGAAGGACAAGATAGACAATTACTGATTTTTGCATTCTCTTTGCTACCATGTCTGTGACCTCACCAAGGTATTGTAGGATGACAACTGGTATTTTCATGAGGAAGGGATGGAGAGGCTGCTGTCCAGTCCTGACAGCCACTGAATGTGTGATGCTTGGGTTGTTGCACTCTACCTGATGCTTGGGTTGCTGCACTCTACTCATCCAGGCCATGTTTGGTTACATACTAGAGACAGTGAGGCATGCAGATCTCTAATTCAATATGCTGAGCAGGATTAGTTCAGATAATTGTAGATCATCCTGACTGCTGGCAACAAAGCTCATTCTCTTCACCCTTCACAACACTGACGTGAAGGGACACACTGGAAATTACAACTATGCAGCATCTTTTTGAGATGTATTCATTGTCCTTTGCAACAAATCCTGTAGACAGGACGGTGCCAGGCCTTGGCAACTTGCCTGACAAAGTGCATAAGCTCCAAGATGTTTCATATTCAGTGTAGCTCTTCACACCTGTTTGTGGAATGTACATAGTCACAGTTTTGGAAGGCTTTCATTTTGCAAGTGCTTCTGCCAGCCTCTCTTCTCCTTACCCAGTGAGCCATAGCATTTATGTAAGCATTTTTCTGCTCTACCAGCGACCAGATGACCCTTTTACTGGCTCAGTTTGTCTGGGCATGTGAAATGGAACTGTCTCTTTTGCTCCGAGTGCTGCACAGATATGTTACCTCGACCACCACCTTTCTCCCTCTTCACTCCCCATAGCCATGGATGAGTCTGTTCTGCTTCAGACAGGTGACAGCTATTAAACCTCTGGAAACTAGACCAGTCACAAAAAACGAAGGCATCTCATGATTAGCAGATTAGCATGCTGAGGTCAGAGACATTACACTAAGATGGCTGCAGTGCTGTTTGTGCTACAGTCGGGCAGGTCTGCTGAATGATAGATTTCACTGGCACTGTGGAAATCACTGGTGTTACAAACTTTGGCTCTGTCACAGATCCAGGGCTTGTTTCTGTTTCTCCTAGATAAGTTGTCTCTTCTGTGGTCGCTGTAATTATGTATGAACATAATGCCCAGAGTGTTTTGGGATCAGCCCCAAATCAGTAGTGGGTAAAAATGTCAAGGACCAGCTTTGAACTCATCCTGTCCCCACATGTCTCAGGGCTTGTGGGAAGGTGGTGGTGATTGCTACTGGAGCACTAAGTGTGTGGAAACACAGGCTCATCTGTCTGCAAATCCAGGAGAAGTGACCTTAACCTCAAGTGAGGAGGTTTAGTTAGCATCCATTTTGGGCTTCGGACAAAGGCATACTCTCCGCTCTCTGGGTGTGATTCTTCTGGCGCTCAGGATGCAGGTAGGAAGCATCTCTACGCAACTCATCAAGTGCTGCTGAACTGTCTGATGCAGCTTCATAGTCTGTCTCCCTGCCTTTTCCATTCCCATCTCCTGTACCTTGACTGATCACTTATGTCCCAGGGAAATACTCCTCTAATGAACCTCCCTGCCTCTGGTAAAGTGACTCTCATTCAAGCTCCTCTTAGTATGTTCACAGGATTGCCGTGAGATGGGGGAAAGACAGTTCAACAGGGCAATTGCCTTCCAAACAGCAAGTCCCAACTTATTGTATTATTCCACCTCTACTGGGTAATCTCTACTTTAACTGTAAACCCCTTGACAACCTGATTCTCCTCCATGAAGTGTTGTGTAGAAGACAGCTGCTTCTGAGCTGGGGTTTGCTCTCTGACCACTGGGGAATAGAGCATTAGTGCAGCATTAGAAAATACCCTTTCTTTTCCTTTCAGAGACTCAGCTGCTGAGCTTGACCCAAATTGCTTTCAGATTCCACTCTTTTATCTTTTAAAAGTGGGAGGAAGGGAGGCACTGTGAAGTAAAATATATAGGTCCTGCTTTACAACTTTAGCCAGCAGTGGTGACGACCTGCAATCCTGGTTTATTTTGAAAAGAGTGAGGCAGAATCACTCCTCATATCCCAACAACTGAGCAAAGATCCTAACAGAAAGCTGCCAGTTACATTGGGTAGCACCTTAGACATTAACAGGTCCATTATACAGGAATGTTAGTGGATGTATGGGTGGTCCAAGAAGATAGTATGTGAAGCAGAACATGATTATATTTACTGATGTGCTTCATCTGTTGTGTTGTTCACTATACCAAAACATTTTTTTTCAACATGGAGCTATGGCAACAGGGCAAGAGAGATGGAAAGAACTTTCTCTTTTGGTTTTCCTTCTCCCCATATGAAAAGTTCTTTCAAAAAGCCATTATGTTTTCACAAAATATTGTGCTTGTGATAAAATTCCTCATGGAACATTGTCAGAAAAATTTCACTTGCTCTTGTTGTCATGAAATTGTGCTACTCATGCAGTTAATTTTGCAGGAAAATGGAGTCGGTTCACCCAGTAAGGATTCCACCAGCATAAACCAATTTTCTAGTATGCTAGGGGTTGCATAAAGTGAAGAGTTACAATAACAACTATGAGTCTGAACACTTTAAACAGCAGTAGAACTGTGTTTAGCCCACATTCTTGTAAGCGTTGGAGTAGTGTCTTGCAGAGGGGTGCCCTTCGCATAGTCCTGCCTCACAAGGTGCTTGTGTTGCCTTGCGGAGGAGCAGGCTTCCGTCATTTCTGCTGCTTTTGATGGTGTTGAAGTTGCTCAAGAGCTAGGAGAACTCAGAACTTCACTTGTAGTTAGCACCAGCTGGAGTACTGTCTCACACTTCCAGAGCAGAGAAAAGGAGAATCAGACCCTGACCGATTTTCTTACTTCAAAACAAATGTCATAAAATTTAACCATTTCCTCCTAAATGTCTCCTATATGTATGTGGCCGTGTTATTTTCTGAGACATCCAGACAAAACATGACCATGGAAAAACTCTGTCTGATGGAAGAAGATTAAAAAAACCCCATTCCTTTAATCTCACATACAACTGTATATATATTTTAGATTGAATTTTAAGAGGTGAACTAAAACCATCCGAGATAGATTTCTTCCCAAATGAAATCTCTGTTGTTGTTTAGAAAGTCATGAATGGTTTAATACAGGGTTTAACACTGAATGACTGCCTGTTTCCTAATCATAATACTTTTAACAGGAAACTAACAAATGTGTTTGTAGTACGTGGAGAAATTGCCCAGGTGTATAGAAATTTTCAGTGCTGTAATCACCAAAAGAAATGATTTCTTTTATAGGAAGGCATGAGAATCGACAGATTCCAATTCCAGAAATTATATAGAACTATGAGGCAGTCCCTTAAAATAATCACCTGCTTATATGAGCTGGGAAGCTGTGAAGGATTCCTATCCTGTATTTCAGGAGAAGGTCAACACGAGTGGTCTTATAAAAAAAATAATAGCAAATGATTACGGTTAGATTTAAACTAACCAAAACAACAATAATGCCATCGAGCTTTGAAAAGATAATGCTTCTCCATAAAGCAGCATGTGTTGGAGGTGTTGCACAGCTGTTACTTATGAAATAGGTTATTTTGAACTTGTCGTATTTGACTGGCAAGTATCATTCAGTACTCTGTTAAAGCATAAGTAATTTTCTTATTTTAGAGATCAAAATCTAATACAAATACTCAAACAAGAAAAAACGTACATAGTTTTTATTACATCTGATTTTGAAAATTTCCATTTAATGTATTTGTTTACAGAGATATTGATTAATATGTGCTCATAGCCTATTTGGTGCACTTTTAGGTGTCGTAGAAGTGCAGGGATTAACCAGTTACAAGTAGCTACTTTAAGCCATGGTGGCATTTAAGGGTTAGTTTCAACAGAAAAGAATGGGTGGGAGGCAGTAGTACTGCATTAAGGTGGTAGGATTTTCTGCCAAGCATGAACCCGCATGGCAGTACGTCTCTGAGGACCCAGGGAAACTGAAAGTTGTCATTCACTCAGCAGTGTGGATACAGATGTGGGTATTTTTGCTGGTGCTTTTAAGAAACCTGCTAGTTTGATATGGAACACAGCTGAGAATTGGGGGTGACAGGCTGTATTTGCAGCACCAAACTGTGTAAAATAAATTGGATGGGGTAGATCCAGACTCAGATTCCTTCTCTACCTGTTTTATGGCAGATACTTGATCTAAATCTGGTTGAAGTACCTTTATCACTATGCTGTAAGTTGTTGTGATCTTTTACAGTATTTCTGCAGTAACGTTTTTCTTTGTGTAAGATTCAGTAGTTTACACAGGAACCGGGATTGAAGTCTTCCATAAGTAGACTGGATCAACGGGATGATTCTGACTTCAGGTCCAGTAAAAAGAGTATTTAGGCAGAGGAGCAACTTTAGTATAGCAGCCTAAGAGCGTTAGCTTAGGACTAAGCTATATAGCCCAGCATTTAACAAACCCCTGTGGAAGGAAGGACACCAGTGTTAAATCCTGGTTCCAAATCAGATTGTGTTGCAAAAGCAGCTTAGGTGCTTTGAAAATATGAACCCTGGATATCGGGAACCTGCAGTGTCACAAGTTGTAAACTCTGAGCTGGAGAGTCATCTGTGCCCATGTGGATATAGGTGCCCTGATGCTTTTAAAAGGGTGAGTTTAGCCATGTCCCAGTGCCTGGCATATCCCATCAATGAGCTGGTCCAGGTTCTCATACTCCCACAAAGTTCTTTGACTTAATTCTGGTTTTCTCACTTAGTGCCATTTCTGCAGAATATGTTGGCTCCTGAAGTGTGTATCTGCTTGGCATTTTCATCATGGTTAACTAAATGGATATATCAAGTATCTAACCAATATTTGAACTAAAACCAGGGTTCTGTATGGTTTTTTCTCAGCTGGTCATGGAATAATGAAATTGAACTGGTGTAAGTCAGTTAGACAAACCTTAAAAGAACAATAACAATTGACTTGAATAAATAACAGCTGAGTTATTCTAGGATTCATATTTCTAAGAAGTGTATTTTTTTAGGGATTTTAATGATGTCAGAACACCTAGGTGAGAAGATGACCTTTTTAATCCTGCAGCTTTTTGTATGAATTCATGTGCATAATGCAACTCCATGAATTTAAAGTTAAACACATAATTAGGTGTTTTTAGGATTGGGTCTTGTTGCTTTTTGTATTTTTTGCACCTTAAAATGATAGTTATTTGTGTGTTAGATAGAGATATTTTGTCAAGGGAGAAGCATAACTGTTATCTGTAGTCCTAGACATCTATTATTTCCTCATAAATTACTTTTTTATAAGAAAGGCTGAAACAAATCTATTTCTTTGGTAAGTTTAGGTACTAGATAGTATATGTGAATTGTTAAGACTGTATTGTCAACTTTTCCCCCCCCCC